TGCATTTCTTCGTTATATATGTTCCATTTTTGTGTGTATATATGTTTTTTTACCCTTCGTAAATTTGAAAATCCTGTGCGCACAAGATACATGTTCCTCACAACTTTCATCTCTCTCTCTCTCTCTATAAGAAAAGAAAAAAATATATATATACATATATAAATATATATATATATATCACCATTATGCCTTGAACTATGTTTTTTTTTTCAAATTCTTCCAGTAGACGGCATCACATGTCCTCTTCAGTTGAGGTAGATTTTTTTTTTTGTATTTCATGTTTATTTTTCAATTTCTATTTTCTTATAAATATCCACATGATCTAGGCTTTGAAGGTTCTTCACATTCTTGTTATTTCTGATGTTTAATATAAACTATATACAAGTATTTTAATAACAGAAATCTCATAAGTGGTGTGCAAGAGGTAACCAGAAAGAAAAAGCAATGTCTTTTATTACTAAATACTGATGACCTCCTTCAGCATATTACAGGTCATGTTCAAACACCTGTAGACCACTTAATATAAAGCAGGTAGTGCCCAGGTACCGGCTACCCTCTTCATACAAAGTAGGCAGTGCACAGGTACCTGCTTACCATATAGGGTGTACGGTAGGTACCTCTAGGTACCTGCTAAACCTTTGATACAAAAAAGGTATTATCAAGTTATCTGTATTATTCGCTAAATTATCAAAAGAATATCAAAGTTTTCTTTTATATGTTGACTGCTTGAGATCATGTGAGTCGACCCAGGTACCTGTTAACTCCTGACTAACAAGTAGGCAATACCCAAGTACCTGCTCACTATCCGGGCACGACGAGAATTATGTATATGTATACTATTACACATTATCTGGTTATTAAATATCTAACAATACATTACTGTCCAACACTGCAGTTACATCCGTGGGTGGGATACGACCATGTTTACGACTGCGACATAAATACTTCATTTGGATCATTATTTTTTCCATAACAATATTCACATGAACTTATATAGTGACTGACCAGAAGAAAAGGATGACAATGATGTAAGTACTCAAAGTTTTTTTTATTTATTTATATTTTTTTTTACTTTTTATTTGTTTATTATCATTATTATTCGCTCCGTCAAAAGTGATAAACTAGAAATATCCAACTTCGCATAAGTGAGAATTTAAAACGCTTTTACATGTCGAAACTTATGGAAAGCAAGAAGGACGTATCACACACCGGCATTTTACACTAGTCATATTTATCACACTATGTACAACGCTTTATTTCTTTATTTGGATGGACGTTTGAGCTATATACTGCCTCTGCCAAGCATTAGGTCAGCTGTGGTTCCATGCCTGTGCACAGCGGGACCCGACGGCGAGGGTGGGTCAGCAGGCGAGCCTCGGGTCGGGGAAAAAATCACCTGATTGTGCGAATTGGATCATCACCGTTTCGAACGAAGTTTCAACACGGCTTCGAACTGCGCGCAATCAGCTGCTGCTTCAGCGAACTAGATCGAACTCACTTCGAAACGCTTCGAACCTTTTCCCGCCCGGCTTCGTCGTGAACCTCGTCTCGGCTCTGTCAATCGGGGTCCAGGCTGTGTTGAGATGACATCGGTGAGCATAAACCACGTTATATTATAGATATATATATATATTTTATAGTTATTCGAACTGGCGCATTATATTTTTTTTACGAACCTTTTGGTATTCAATGTTCATAAATATATAAAAATCCTTATTTGAAAAAAGCTAACCCCGTATTGAAGATGATGTCGTATTTGTTCCGGAAAAATATATATACATGTATGCACGATCACTGTGACAAGCCCGTCAGTGTTTGATGTTTCATTAATAGTAAACTCGTAAGATTGAGATGAATGACTTAATCAACGAGGGTCGAAATAAACGCGTGTGAATGAGTCTGCTGTTGACTTGCGACGATTATTAGTAATGAACAAAACCTCTCATTCGTGACAGCGAGACCAGAGGGAAAGCGAGGAAAGGGAGGCGAGAGGGAAGGGAGGAGAAGGAGGAGAAACAGGAAGGACGAAGGTAAGTGAAAGTGAGAATTTTTCTATAGTATTTTTTTCGATTTACTTGCTTTTTTGGTTTTAAGTTTTGTGGATTTTGTACGCTATGGTTTGTAGAAATACTCGAGGGAAATGCAATAGTTGACGAGTGGCTTGATCGCCAGGGTTAAAATCTGACTTTATTATACATATATAAAATTTAGAGAAAAGTGATATTGCGTAGACCTTGAAACTGTTGGAAGTCTATCTCGTAGCCACTGCCACGTCTGGGAACTTTGTTAATTACGAAATAATCTGCCTTTGGAAATTATTTTTATTACTACCTAGATTGTCGAAGAAATCCTTGTGCGAAATGAGGGAAAAAGAAAACGGGGGAAAAATAAAAGTCGAAATAGGATCCTGGTTGCTTTGCCGATCGTAACACTGAGAATTATTATAGTGATTATTAACATTATTGTTATTATTATGTGTCTTTTTAGTTGGGGGATGGGGAGTGAAATAAAAATGGAATGAACGAATATAGAGAGAATTGTCTTTTTGTTGTTGTTGTTGAATGTTTATTAAATTTGCGATTTGTTGATAAACTTAAAAATAAATAAATAAATATGAAAAAATCAAAAGGCAGCTTGGGAAGGGGAAGGGAGGGAGGGAGGGAGGGGGGGTTGAACTTGAGTGTGTATGTACAGGAGTTTCCTTAAATGCGTAGTAGTTTGTTAATCTTTAAATCACATTTGAGCGTGAAGTTCTGGGATCAGAAAAAGAAAGACATTTCATCCCAACTTTCTTCTACAAAATGAAAACCTTATATTAATTTGTTTTTGTTTTTTTTTTATATATATATATACTTATTGTCAGTACTTCGAGAATGAAAGAGAAGAAAAAAATATATATAACGTAGTAAATATATTCTTATATAAAAAAAGAGATAGAAAAAAATCAGTAGTTCTATGTCTTGACTTTGCAGTATTTGTCATGAGCATCTTAAGAATGCCGGAAAGTTTCTTCTTCTACGAAATGGATCTGACTCAGCAATACCTCCACCGCCGTCATCGTGTCACTATAGGCAAGCTAATGTAACTCTAATTGCTGGTGTAGTTTAGTACAAAAATCCAAAACTCTAGAAATGCACTTGATTGCCAGGTTATATAAGGTGTGTATGTTTGTGTGAGTGGATTTGGATATATATATATATATATATATATATATATACATACACACACACACATTTGTATATACATATACATATGTGTGTATATATATATGTATATATATGTAATATACACATATATATATCATATATATTATATATATGTGTATATACATATATATGTATATATATACATATATGTTATATATATGTATATATATACACATATATATGAGAATTATCTATATATATACATATATATATACATTCATATATATATATAAATACATATGTATACATTTATATATATCCAAATCCATATATATAATCTTTTTTTTTTTTACCTAAACGTATGTAATGTCAATAAATTTGAATCTTTTCCGAAGTTCCTCACAAATGATAGGTTCGTATCAGCAATTTTTTTCGGAGTCGCAAAAGATCGTCGTCGTCTGTATTACCCTAAGTACTCGGGCCGCGGTTCCCGGACGTCTAAAGGGCCGAATCGAGAGAGAGGGGGAGGGGGGCGTGTCGCGCAGGGGAGAGGGGAGGGAGAGGGGAAAGGGGTGGGAGGAGCCAGGTGTGGGGAAAATCTTTCCAGGGCAGGTGATTATTTAGCTTTATTTCTTTGGTTATTATTACTGTTATTTAATTATTCTTTTTTTGTTTTGTTTTGTTTTGTTTTGTTTTTTGTTCGTTTTTGCATGGGGGGGGGGGAGGATATGCGAAACGTCTCTTCGAAATGAATGAATAATTTCTCTGCTGTTTTTAGAAATCCGGGTCCGGCCTCTCTGCTATCTCTGGCAACGACAATAGAAACAAAGCCTAATATGAATGTTTGAGATTATTATTATTATTATTATTGTTATTATTATTATTTATTATTATTATTAATATTATTATTATTATACAAACCCGTTATGCGGCCCAGAGTGGAGCTAGATGACGTACGAGGTGAAAACAATGCTAACCATCACGCCCGCAGGGACCCGCGGGCGCCAACGTAAGGGCGAAAAGCACAGAGGGCGGAGGGGGGAGGGGAAAGGCCGGAAGAGGGGGAGGAGGGAAAAGGGAGGAGAGGAGGAGGAAGAGAATGGAAGAAAAAAGCAAGTGAAGAAGGAAGAAGAAAGTGGAGAAGAATGGAGGGAAAAGGAAAGGAATGGAAGAAAGAAGCAAATGAAGAAGAGTGAAGGGAATAGGAGAGAAATGGAAGAAATAAGAAAAGGAAGAAGAAAAGAGGGGATAGTAGAGGAATGGAAGAAAGAAAGAAAAAAGAAGAGATGAAGGGAACAGGAAAAGGCTCGAAGATAAAGGAGAAATGCAGGAAAGAAATAAAGGCTGGAAGGAGAGAAATGGGAGAATTGAGACCAGAGAGAGAAAGGGAAAGAGATAGAGATAGATGGAGAGACAGAGAGAGAGACAAAGAAAGAGATAATAAGCCAGAAAAGAGGAAACAAAGGATGAGAGAGAGAGAGCACATAGGCAGAGCGGAGACGAATGAACCAGAGAGACAGGCAACGACAAGCGAAGAAGTTATACGACAGAGACGCGCACTCGTTGCAAAAGTTCCTTCCGACTCGTCCCCGAAGTCTTGTGGGACATCCTCGGTGAGCCAGGGAAGGGCCTCCTTAGCGAGCCAGGGAAGGGCCTCCTTAGCGAGCCAGAGAAGGGCCTCCTTAGCGAGCCAGGGAAGGGCCTCCTTAGCGAGCCAGAGAAGGGCCTCCTTAGCGAGCCAGGGAAGGGCCTCCTTAGCGAGCCAGGGAAGGGCCTCCTTAGCGAGCCAGAGAAGGGCCTCCTTAGCGAGCCAGGGAAGGGCCTCCTTAGCGAGACAGGGAAGGGCCTCCTTAGCGAGCCAGAGAAGGGCCTCCTTAGCGAGCCAGGGAAGGGCCTCCTTAGCGAGCCAGGGAAGGGCCTCCTTAGTGAGCCAGGGAAGGGCCTCCTTAGCGAGCCAGAGCAGGACTTCCCCAGAACCGTGGACTCGTCAGTCTACCGTTTTCACGTCTCCTTTTGATATGACTTGACAATAGGGTCGACTTTTAAGCGTAATTGGCATGATACTCTCGTCCTTACAGATCTTAACCCACTATCTGTACACTCAACACTGTACAATACCATTAATTTTAACACAGCAGAAAAGCTAATCGGATCAGAGCTGCTGGAGAGAGGATGCACATGTCTGCAACTCTTGCTCCCTCGGGAACAAATCCTCGTGTGCTTTGTTGTGGCTTCATGTTTCCATCTTGCGTGCGTGCGTGCGTGTGTGTGTGTGTGTGTGTGTGTGTGTGTGTGTGTGTGTGTATGTGTGTTAGTATGTAAGTAAATGAATGTATGTACATTCGAATGTTTACTTGTGGATGCACACAAGTGCATGTGTTTGAGGCTTTGATTTCATATAGAACAGATATCCACGTACATCGTAACTTCACTTTCTAAAATTTTATTTTAGCACATAAACTTCCTAATAAAAATGAACAGATCGGTAAATAAACAATAACAACATCTCTAGCTATCTACTGTAACAATCACCGACAGCCTTTCGCCACTGGCGCGCGGGCCACGACTCACGACCTCACGAGCCGTAACCAATGAGCCACGACTCCTTCCGCAACGACGCACTGAGCCACGACCCGCCCCGTCGGAGGAACCGGAGCCTGGTCGTCCTCCTCCAAGTAACCCGTAAACCGATCTGGTAATCAGCTGTTTTGTTGTATCACGTGCTGTCTTCTGGTTTTCATTTTTCTTATTTTCATGAACTGTTCCCCTTCATGCAAAACATCACTGTCGCATAGCTGGGTGGAATGCTAATATATGAAAAAAGGTCATGATAGATTTAGAAATTATGATTTATAACTGTAAAAAATGAGAGAGAGGAAGGGGGGAAATAAGGAGTATGCCAGTTATCAAGGATGAGTATAACCAGTAAAATATAGCTCCATTCTGGATCCTTTCAGCATACACACGCAGGCACACGCACTCACACTCAGCAACACAGATCCTCGTAGACACACTCGCACGCCTGCACACTCACGCTCACGCACACACATCGAAACACCTTCCTACGCCACACAGTTGGCTTGCCTGACCCTTCGGTTGGTGTGTCATAAGGTTGAAGGTCCCTTATTGCAACACTGCCTCTGGGCCTGGACGTCGCCCGTGGCTCTACGAACGCCTGCATAACCTGTTCACGCGTGCAAACACAAGGACTGCAGGGACGACCTCGCTTCAGGGGGACGACCTCGCTTCAGGGGGACGACCTCGCTCGGGGGGACGACCGCGCGTGCCCCCTCCCCCCGCAGGAGACCTCCACTTTTGTGTGATTGAAATCATATTTTGTCTCAATTTCATTTAACAATTTATTTTCTACCAATGGGCTCTAAACATATTTAGCATATGCAGCTAAGCAATGACTGATTCTTCACTTTTATATTTTTTTTGGAAAACTATTTTGTTTTTTGTTTTTTGTTTGTTTTTTTCTTTGTAATAAAACCATTATACTCAGCCTCTGGTATTACAAATAAGTGTACATACAAATAACGTTGGGAACAGACCAGCACACCGTGAGTTTTGGACATTAGGATATAGGAGGCAGCTGCTTCGTCCCGTCCCATGCCAGTCCAGAGTCACAACACACAACGTTAATAAGCGTATCATCAACAATGTAGATTCCAGATATTTAGCAGAACCTTACAAGGCTAACAGAAAGAAGGATAACGCGAGAGTAGGGGATACACCTTGACGCCAATCCTCATACTGGCGGCATGAGGGGGACTCCTTGGCGCCTTCCCTCATACTGGCGGCATGAGGGGGTGCCTCTTCATGCCGGCCCCCCACGCGAGGAGCATGAGGGGCGCTTCTGGACGTCATCCCCTCACACTGGCGGAATGAGGGGGCACTCATTGCCACTCGCCCCTCACACTGGCAGCATGAGGGTACTCCTAGTGCCCCGTACCTCACATTAGTGGAATGACGGGGTGCAAAGGACCCCACCCCACGCGTCTGCGATGAGGGGGGCAGTCCCCGCTCCCTCACACTGGATGGGGCTCCACACTAACGCTCCACAGTTAGCACACTCCTGGTGTTGGTGTGGGAGATTGTAGGACAACAACAGATCAACAACCGCGTCCTCTGGCCCCTAAAGGTGACTGAAGGATGCGTCTACCAGTCCTTAATGGACTACAAGTATCTCCCTAATATATCATTGGAAGTCTGTGTGGATTACCTGACTCAAATTATAGTTTGCTTTCTAACCAGGAGCAAGCATAAATGCTGTAATGTGTTTTACCAAACTAAATAATTGAAGTTATTGTGGTCAAGGTTCTGTGACCCACTGTTAACATGCTATAAAGGTCCATGGTTTTATACAATGTTGTTGACGAGTGAGAAGCGTAGTAAGTACCTCCCCGGCCCGGCTGGAGGCCCTTCGGCGACAGCGCTGGGTGCCTGGGGAGGCTTGGCCCGGGGAGGCTTGCCCGCGGCGCCGCTGAGTGGACGTAATGAAGAGGGGAGTCAGTGGGCCTCCCCGCCAGGGCCACTTGTCCCTTTGAGCCTGACCACCTCTGATACAGAGGCCGCAGCAGGCGCTCACACCACCAGGTCGGGCGGGTCAGGGCCGAACAGGTTCTTGTAGGATGCATGAAGCCGCATAGTGTCCACGCCGGCAGGAGGGGGAGGGGGAGGGGGCAGCCCCTCGTCCTGTGCGGAAACGTGGCGTTGCCTGATGTCGTTGCCCCAGCGCGGAGCGGGCGGTGCGGGAGGCACATCTGGGGGCAGTTCTGGAGGCGAAGGAGGTAAGGGAGGAGCGCTGGGCGGCGGAGGAATCACACGAGGTAAGTCGGAGGACACGGCGCTCGCCGACGGGCCCCCGCTGGAGGCCGAGACGGCGCCCGCGCTCGAGCCGCTCTCGACGTTGGCGCAGATCACTGAGGGCTCGTTCACGCCGTTCGCCTTCAGTCTTCTCTGGTTCATCATGGAGGCTCGCAGCGTCTTGCGTTTCTGCAAAGGATCGGGACTCAGTTCCTCGCTCGAGGCACGCTAATCTCGGCTGGGAAATACAGGAAACATGGGAATACAAGACTCATGACTAGTGGGCACGAGAGGGCGACCCCCCGTGCCCAAAGGCTGCCGCACTTACCTCGACGGCCCCTCTCCACTTGTCGGCGGCGTGTCGAGCGATCTCTAAGCGCTTTTGTTTCCGGATTTGATGCTTCTTGTAGATGATTTCGATGATGATGAGCCCGATGCCGCCCACGATGCCGGCGGCCACCAGGATAAACACGCCCGCCATGTTCTTGAGGCCCAGCGTGGCCGGCGCCTTGTCGTCGGTGTCGCACTTGTCGTCCATGCCCTGCAGGATCCACTTGTTGTCCAGCTCCTCCATGTAGCCGCTCTCGTGGAACTCCAGGATGGCCAGCGTGACGCGGTCCGCCCACGGCGAGTTCTTCTTGAGGCCGATGCCGTAGCCGGAGCGCCCGAACAGCTCGCCCGCCGTCACCAGCTCGCAGTCCTGCGCCGCCTCGTACTCTAGCCGGGAGCTGTCCCAGATGAACGCCTTCAGCTTCCTGAAAGGCGCCGCGGCTCGACTCAGTCGCTCGGAAGGGCTCGGCCTCGACTCGGGACTCGAGGGGCCCTCCGCCCGCAGGCAGACGCAGGGGCTCGAGTCCGGTGCCGGGCCGCCCACGGGGGAGAGCATGCACAGGGGGAAGGCATGCGGTTATTTGTTCTTGAGGCTTCGTCGTGAACTCAGTTTAAGGCTTAGAACTAGAGTTATACCAGCAGTAAACTACACACCAAAAGGTCCAGAGAACTTCGCAAATTAATATATACTTTGTTGAGATATTGCAAAGAAAAAAGAAGAAAATTATTAAAGATTAAATATTTTAGCTTACCCAGACTTATCCTTCATTCATTTTGGCGATAAGGGATGGACATTCGTGATGTTCAAACTGACATTCAATTCCTTGAGTGGAATTGTGTTGGCAAAAACATTGATAAATATACCTACTCTTTATGTTTACGTTGGAAATAAGAAAAATATCCTATATTTATTTTTTAAGCATTAGCAAACACTGATCCTCTACGCTGACCCAGACTAAAAAAAAAAATAAAAAAAATAAAAAGACCATCCTAATTCATCTTATTAATACCCTCTCCTCCTCCCCCACCCCCTCTCCCTCCCGACTTCCCTCCCCCTACCAATCGTCCCTTCCCCCTTTCCCCAGTTCCCCCTCGCCCTCGTCCTTCCTCTTCCCTCCTCCTCCTCCTCCCTACCCCCCCACGTCACCCTCTGTGCCTGCAGGAACTGACCCTGACTTGACGGCCTGAATAGCTTCCTCAGCCGTGTGGTAGTTGTTGCCTTCCATCGTGCGGTACATGTTGCTTAGCTCCACCTGCCGCCGGAAGTACATGTCCACGGACGAGCCCTTGACCGTAGCGTACGTGAAGTTCTCCATCGGGTTCCGCAGCTGTTTGGGGGGAAGGGGGAGAGAGGGGGGTTATTTTAGGGTGTTTGGGTTTGAGTGAAGGGAGGGGGTAAGTAGGAGGGAGAGAGGGAGAGAGAGAGAGAGGGAGACAGGCAGATGTACAGAGAGTCTGAGGGAGAAACTTTATCGGTAATAAAAAAAAGGATGAGTAATTCAATGTAAAAGATAAGTAGAGTTACCCCTATCGTATTGCCGTTTTCTGTCATGCAAATTAAATTTCTATGTCCCATTCTTTAAAGCTATAACTAAATTAATATAAGAATTTCGTTAAGATTCTCTAATCTTACATGAAATAAAGAATATTATCAGTATGAGATTATATATGTATATGTATATATGTATATATATATATATATATATATATATATATATATATATATATATATATATATATATATATATATATATATTCTAAAGGACGTACTTATCGACACTCAAAATAAAGGGAACAAATGTATCGACTAGAAAAAAAACAATCTAAATCCTTTTCTCTCGTACCACACACCCAAAGAATGCACAGACAAGCACTTCTAAGGAGATACACACTGATAAACCAAGCACACACACACAGACTCGTATTAACTCCCCCCTCCCCCCCCCCCTACACACAAGCACTAAATATCTCTCAGCAGCCGAAATCACACGCAAACACATCCAAAGCGCTGCAATCTACGAGGCTCCCACCCAATCACACCCACACGCCCACTCCCCATACGCCACAGACGGGACCATGTCCACACGCCCACTCATCCACAACCACACACGAGGCCCCCGCCAAACCCCGCCCACTGACTCGTAAAATCTCAAGCGAGACCAGCACCCAACCCACCCCTCCCCCCACGCCCACACACGCCCACTCACCCGAGCGTCGTTGATGCCGGTGAGGGAGGTCTGTGGGCGGTCGAGCACGAGGAAGGCCGCCAGGTTGGCAGTGTAGGAAGCGACGATGATCATGGCAAAGCCTGCCCACACCATGCCCAGCACACGGGCGCTGAAGCTACGAGGAGTTCCTGCGAGGCGGCGGAGGGCAGGGCGGGCGGCGGATGGGCGTGCGCCGGGGCGGGGACAAGGCGGGGAAGAGGAAAACACGCGGTTAGACTCAAGAAGGAACTAGAGGAATATGCTGATACATTTTTGTGAATGAGTATTGTAAACAAAAACCTTTTTTTTTTTGTGAATGAATATAGTAAACAGATAAATAGAATGATATTCAGGGGGATGGTCATCTTGACCAGATATATCATTTTAAGAATGATCAATAAAACACAAACAATGACTATATTTCCCCTTATTGTCATGGCAAAACAGACATACGAGACCTTGAATGCGATTAGTATATTGATCGAGATATGCATAGATGAAGAAGTTTGTAAGGAGATTTAGGTTGACTGATAAATAGAGTGAAAGAGAACTAGACCAAAGGCTACGATAGAATAAATAGACAGACAAAGAGATAGACAGATAGTGTAATTTGGTACCAGTACATGTACATCTGATTTTTCATAACTAGCTGGAAATGTATGGAATGGCTTCCCCTTACCTTCGCCAATGCCACTGTTGAGCAAGACTCCCCAAGCAAACCATATTGCAGAGGACAAATTCAGGGCATCTTCTTCTGTGCCGTCCATGTTTGCTAGCTTGTACCTGGAAGGGGTAGTTTAAGTAGTACTGGAATCATGGGAAGAGATGTACGAGGGAGACGTTGATAAAGTGGTAATGACTAGATGATTTAAGCGCGTTTAAAGTATTTCCTCGTTGGAGGAAGTTATGCATGGCTAGAAAGATTGGGGAAAATACAACAACAACAACAAAAAAAAAATCCAGTAACCAATCTCATTTGCTTACCTACTTTTTAACAGTACCCGGAGCTAGTGAACTACAGGATGACCCACCTACTTTTAACATCACCCCCCCCCCTTCCCATCCCTCCCTTACTCTACCCAAGCTAACGACAAACATTACCTTCCTACCCAAAGACCCCCCACCCCTTCCTCCGTTCCGAAGCCCGCGTGAACCCTCTCCCCCCGCGTCTCCTTACCTGCCAAAGGGGCTAAACCTGTCGAGAAGGTAGAGAACCAGAGCCACCACGTGCACGGACACCATCACGAGGATCCATAGCGTGTCTCGGAAAGGCTGAAGGAAGGAGACTAGCGTGGAGTAGCGAGGTTGCTGTCGGGAAGAAAAGGGAAGTTCGGGTCAGTTTTGGGACAGACCTGTTTAGGTTGGATCAGTTTTGGGACAATTCTGTTCGGGTTCAGTCGGTTGGTATAGTTCTGTTTGGGGACAGATCTGTTAAGGTTGGGTCAGTTTCGGGACAGATCTGTTAGGGTTGGGTCGGGGTATTTTGGATGGTTTACAGACATCTTAAAGATAGTTCGGTTTGGTCTTGGTATTATTCAAGCTGGTTTCCTAATGGAAGGTGTAAAGCTTTTACGTCGACGTCATATGCTTTGGTATACTCAACGATCCATTATATAAAGATTATATCTGGCGAATTTAGAATTTCGGAAACCAGTACTAGTTCATTTGAAAATAATTGATAAATACATTTTTTTTCTTCAGGAAAGCCGAACCTACATCCGCCCTCCCTCCCCTCTCTTTTCATTTCTTCTTTCATTCAGTCTATTTTCTCCCCTAAGTAAAGACGAACGTGACCTCACCTTCTTCTCCAGAATAGTGATTCCCTGGTACTTGAAGGGCTTCGAAAACTCGATCACCTGCGCTCGCTCCGGGTTGATGGTCAGCGGCGCCACGATCATGTCTGCGCCGTGGGTCTGGTTGACCAACTGCCCGATGAGGCCCGACCACTCTTTCTTTCCTGCGGGCGGGGAAGAGGCGGTTAGGGGGAGGGGCGAGAGGCGAGAGGGGG